GGGTCCCTGAGTAGTCCCGATGCTGGAAATTAACCCATTAGCGTTACTAGTTCCCTTATCTTTGGCCTTGTTTTCTATGCGACAAGATGACATTCGTTGACCAGCTCGTTTTGAAACAATCTTAAAGAATATGGGTGCAACCACATCTTTTGGTTCTGCCCCATTAGAATATGCTAAATTGGTTTCATGTTGTTACAGACCACTTTCCAAACTGAATCAATCAGCTGTAAATTTCTCAATAGCGTGTATTGAATTTACTTCTACTACAGCACTCTTCCCCCATGTGTCAGCTTACAAACTTTTGCAATTTCCACAACAGGGTTGAGTTTATATGTGCCAGTGAAAGCTGATTATATTCATTAATTTGAATATAATGTAACAGTACCACAGGGTGTTGTGGCTGACAGCTACTTTCACTACAGTTTGGAGTGCCACGCGTAACGGAAAGATTCTCTGTGGTTGATGACAGGTTTTTTTTTCTTTTTTGGCTGGATATCAACACTCGAAGTGTATCTGGTGTCTCACCTAATATTGGTGTAGATGATCTTCACAAGGAACTTAATAATTCTGGTTAGAAAATTATGTTAGCAAAAAACCGTACGAGAAGTGGAAAAGAGTGGTACAGTCTACATCTGAATTGTTCCTATCATCGTTTCTCGGACATCTTTTCCTACCCATGTTTTAGTTGGATTCGAGCGTTTTCCTGTGACGTTTAAATAAGTAATTTCATTCTGTGCTACCAGTGCTTTCGTTTTACTCTAGAGGTCAAATCCGTTGTTCCAAGTGTGGGGAACCTCATAACTGTCAAAGATTGTATGACAGACTTCCCAAAGCGTGTCAATTTTGTTGGACCACATTCAGCTATTTTTTTACAGCCCAGAATCCGACAGGAAGCCCAAGAATTAATGCTTAACGCAACACATCTCACAGGAAGGCTCTGATATTATTTTAGAAATGTCCAACTTCGCTATAATACATGCTAAAGTGGCACAAAGTCATCCCTCAGTGGCCATACTGACACGTATCACTCATCAAAATTTCTATCACGACCACCTCGCTAAGTCTCAGTTGTTGTTTAAATTGTTGCAGTCGATGCTTCTGCTCGCGCTGAAACTGGTAATTTGTTATTATCTCCTTATCGCTTGCCTTTTATTTCTGAATTAATTTATTGCTATACTGAGGTTGGTACAGATGTTGCACGAATTAAAATCATCACTAAGGCTGCTAATAAGCATCTGTATTCTCAAAGTATACACGATGTACCCCACTCTTAAGACTTAACTAATGACGACCAACCATCTTAAACTGTTACAGTGAAATGATCAGAGTTTGCAGGCTATGTGGATCTTTATACTCCCCAAATTATCACTGTTAAAGCTTCATATTCAGCACTATCCACCTGGTCATACTGTTCACCGTTTTGTTCGCTCTTCTGGCGAACGTGGTGGATATTATTTCATCGTACGTTGAGATTTTAAATTTTTTGCCATTTTGTATTATTGACAGTTCTCTCTTGGGAGTTTGCACATTAGTAATGTTATTGGATCGTTACAAGTCTCTGTCATAACCTTCATGTAAATTTTAGAGATTATCAGCTTCTTCCGATTATTATGGAAGTGAATACACGTGTAATTATTTGTGGAGACTTCAAAGTATTCATTCCTTGTGGAAATATGACTATGTTGGCTACAGTGGTCATGCGGTAGTATATTTTATGAATGATTGGCGTATTTTTTTTTTCTAAATGATGGTTCTCAAACTACGGTAATTCCTAGATCTGGCAAATTTACATTTAACTCTAGTACTCTAAGCGGTAACTGTTCGTGGCGAGTTCTACCTGACACATTTAGGGGTGACCACTGTCCTTGTAAAACCTTACTGCCTCTAACTCTTTCCTTTACTTGTCCTTCTCTTCATATCATCTTCCCGCGTATTAATTTGGTGTCTTCTCTCAAGTCATTCAGAGAAGCATCCATTGCTTTACTACAATTGTTGCCAGTGCTGGGTATTTTGGTTCTACAATTATTAATATTATTAGAATTACTACTTGATACCAATTTCCTAAAAATATTGAATTTTACGACGTGTCCCCAGTTCCCATGATTTGGAAGAAGATCCGTATTTACACCAGATTAATCTTCCTTTCTTTAATGTGATCTCGAAACACAAATGTCGTATTCATGGTAAAGTTTCTGAAAGTTGTCATACTTATGGCCTTTAATTGACTTTCGTATTTCTTAACATTCTCCACAGATGTCTCAGTTTTACCACTATCAACCTCTGACCTTTTTGAAGCTATTGTGGACCGTCATGAGACATCCACTTTTTCAGAATTACAATATTCTCTAAGACAGCGTGACACTTCCTCTGGTGGAGATAAAATAAAATGCTTGCTCATCTAGATACCATCCCGATTCTCAAGATAGGAAACATGTTTTTCTTCCATTCTCATGTATTGATGAATTTCCTACTGTAACCTTATAGAACACATGATCAACTGTCACCTCTCTCTCTCTTTAACTAAATATTATCACCATTTACCTTCACAGCGAATAGTTAGTTTCATTATTAATCTCCTATTGGGACTACATCCTAGCTGTGTTCTTAGACCTTGAAGGAGCCTTTGATAATGAATGAATATATATGTAAGGTCTTTTTAGAAAGACCTACTGCCTTCGCTATCATGGATACGTTTTAAAATCGCTTCATAACTATCTAATAATGTTCCTTTTCTGTCAAAATTCACAACACGCTCTTCTAAAATAACTTTCTCAAGGAGTTCTTCAGAGATCCAAATTCAGGTCCACTTGTTTTAAGTCATGCTTAATGATATGGTAGAAGCTCTAAAACGTGATGATCTTTGTGGTATCTATGTCAATGAAATTTATGTTTGGAGACAAGGTTGAAATCTAAATAATGCCCCTTCATCATAACATGCAATAAGATTCTAAATTCTTTTTTCGGGAATTCCCCGTTTTTGTTGACTTCTTACTTTCTAAAGATTCTCATAACATGTTTTATCTTTGCAATTTTTCTGTGGCATTATCTTTAAATCTTTGCCAAATATTTGTTGATCATCTGCTTTAACACGTTTGTCACGGTTGGTTTGTTAATAAAAATGCATATATATGTTTGGATGACTGAAATATATGTCAGCTTACACCACACAATGTCTTTAACCGTTTTACACTAGTTTTAACTCGTCCATAATGCACAATATCGTTAAAACATTGCATTTTTTTAGCAATTCCTAATGACACCAGGATTATTACCTAATATAGTTGTAAAGGATAACCACTATGTTCACAACTGGCCACGGACAGTGGTTGGTTAAACTCAGGGCATTGTGAGCTTGAACACCTGAGTTTCACTTGGAAAAACAAAGTATTTTTGATTGATTGCTTCTTCATTAGATACTGGCTTTTCACCTGTGTTTTGTTAAATAATTGAAGAGACAGTGTATTCTCAACGCTGTTTGATTGTTACTAAACGTTTCTTTTAATAAAAAAACGTACGTTTACAACTTTTACATCTGCTACAACACTTGTCAATCTCATTTAATACGCGAATTTATTAAATACATATTGTGTATGTATGTATATATATATACATATTTAAATATCTATTTGTATGTACATATATAGGACAAGCAGTAGCTTTCTTGTTGTTGTTACCTCAGTTGTATACACGAAGAAAAGATACATATAAGGATAAAGTATCCTACACTGTTTATATCTTAGAAATAGAATAATTTTGAGGCGAACTAATAACGAATTTTAGGAAAACCAGTGCTTGAACAAACGTGAAATTTAAACATAACAAAGAGGAAAGAAATTTGCGAACAGCTAATAAAATCATAACGTATTTTGGTTAACAACGCCCATTCTATAAATCTGAAAAATATTTTTAGGGTTAATAATATAACTCACAATAAAATGAAAGTGCGAAAATAGTACGACGTTTCTCGGTAAACCGTTGTCGGAGTTAGTTTTTTACTTTGAGTTGATTTTCAAAACGACAATTTTATTTCTAGAATTAAATTGTAATTTAAACATATTAATTGACATACAGTAACTTATTTATTGACGTAGACTATGATTAAGTCTTCATGGAATTTACCATCTAGCTCTTAGAAACGGGTTGTCGAGAGTTTCTCGTGAATCACGTCATCACGTTCTTCACGTGCTGGCACAGTCATTTTGTCGTATAACTCGTATTCATGCTACGAAGTGGTTGGAAAAAAAATCTCGAAAATATGTAAAGCCAAAAGCTGTATATTGCCCAAAGCATACATAAGTAGTATCATCAAAAAACAAGTAAATTAACAAAAAATATGCAATTAAATTTTAATTATATACATACTCCTTACATAATATTAAGTAGTAAAGAATAGAAACTATTAAAATATATTGAAGATAAAATATGTTCTCATGCTTAATCCTAAACATATCCCAGGGTTCATGTTGATGAAAAAAACATACGGAAGCAATTCAGTGACGGATTAATGACAAGTTTAAGCCTAGGTAAGAGGCTGGTAACATACTTTTATTTTTTTACTAATTTTACATAGGAACAGTTGTTAATGTTTTGCTTTTGTAAATATAAATACATAGTCATTTGAAATCTTAAATCAAATATACTGTTGTATTTGTTTAAAATAATAGCTTTTCAGTGAGTGATAATCGACGTAGGTGTGATTATAAAGCGGCTTACGAAAGCAACGTGACGTTTACACTGACTTGCTGTTCACGCCACAACGTCTCAGTACCGTGACTAATACCGAACAGTTAAAGGTAAAGACTGCCAAAGTTCTACACTCGCTAATTTTCTAGTCCCACACTAATTTGGTAAAATCTAAATGAATAAAAAAATCTTCCTATATACTTCCATGTTCAATGAAAGCAAATCGAGTAAACCATGATGTAAATTTTGACTCTCGGGTTATCACGTACTGAATTTACCGTACCGATTTTCATAAGATTAACGTCAATAATACTTACATTCCATCTTCTTCGGTCGATCTTGTTTACGTCTCGGCATGCTTCGACTGACCGTCGTACTATTCCGGTTAGGAGTGACAAGCGTTTCACACTGAAAAGCGCACGAGAACGGTGAGATCACATGCAGAGTACTTCCCGCTGTAAACCTTCCATTCAAGAAACTGTGAGTAACATTTGACGTCAGGAAGACAGACAGGCGTTGCCCTTAGCATCATGGGACTCACATCCCCTTAGGGCGGATCTAAGTGTTGATAAGAGCACAGAGCCATCTAGTGAGTATTGTTGAAGTTTCAGCAATAACATTTATAAGCAGCGTATTGTCTGTTTGGGGGAACTTTGACACCAGCAACGTTTCGGATTCCAGACTGAAGCATCAGTAGAGTATTTGAAACGTTATCAATGTCAAAACTTTCCAGGAATCTGCTTTTGTGATCAACGTATTTGTATCTACTTCAAAACCGAAATGTCTTTGAAGCATGTATTTGAAGTTGTCGCACAATGAGTAACCGAAACGTCGTTACCAGACTCGTTCCAAGACAACGGAATTTACTTACAGAACTACACCACTAATTTTTGGTCCCCGGTAATTCCAAAGTAAGCTTACGGGATTATGACGCTAAAATCCGGGGTTTAATTTCCCGCGGTGAACATTTCCCGTGTAGTTTTGCTCTAAATAAACAACAACCAATTATTTGAAATTGAAAGAACACCTGGTGTATAATGTTGTATAAAATGAAATGATATTGCATGAAATGAAGGTGTATTGTGTAAAAAAAAAAAAAATGCTTCATTTCGAGTTAAATATGTAATCATCAGTAAGTGAGAAAAAGTGTAAAGTTAAAATTTATATTGTATCTAGGTTTCGAATTACAAATATAAGCTACGCAATTAATTATGTGTGCTCTGCCCCCTTGGGTATTGAAACCCGATTTTTAGCGTCATCTGAAGCATTTGTATTTATTTTCTCCCTTTTTTTACGCGTTTATAACGAACCATAGTTTTATAAATTTAGGGCTTTCGATGCTGGCTCTTTGTTGGTTAAAATTTCCTTTATTTTGTGATATTAAAGATTAGACAATAATTCTTAAGTTTTGTAGGTTCGAGTATTTGTTCTTAGCGAAATGGTGGGTAAAATAAAAATCCGAAGACGAAGCTATTGTAAGTTGTTTAATCAAATAGTATGAAAAGTATAAGCAAGAAAACTGACCAGTTCCTTACTGAACTTGCACCAAGATTTCTGATATTAACTTATTTGATGCCACTATTAAACTTTTATGTAATATCATTTCTTAATATTTTCAAATGTAACTAATTTAACATACATGATTAATTTGTACTTTCGAATTAATGTATGACATTAAGCTTTGAATTATTTTTATTTTAATTAGTATATTAGCTACAGGTTATTTTCATCTCTTATTGATTAATATATATTGGCAAATGATATATTTTTATAAAGTTTTGGAAAAATAACTCTCTCAAACATCTTCCATTTGAAAGACCTGCAAAGTAATATAGTCAATGAACGCTATTCCTTTTCTTAAAACTTTGTCAGACTTAACAACTGACAATAAAAAGTTTCTATTCATGCCCGAAGAAGTCAATATGCTAAATTAATTTATCGTTTTATTATTAGCATTAAGACTTATACTGCGATTTTATCACACGCATACAAGCAAGCTACTTTGAAAATAATACTTCGTATTCAGAAGTATTGTTTACATTACGATGATAATAGAAATTTTCATTTGCGTTTGACCAGATTTAGCCACAGAAGTAGTCAGCAGAATACCTATATCAGGGGTATGTTTTTCTTATTCAAAGTGCATATGGTTTATGTGTAAGGAAGTCCGTGAAATGAATATTTCAATATCTGGTAGCACTTCCCCTTGAACCTGCCAGAACCTGGGCTCGATTAGGCATAGATTCAATGATGTTCTGTATAAAAGCCTCATCCAGGTTGTTCTATATGCGAGGGAGCGTAACCTTCAGTTGATTTGCATTCCCTGGATGTGGAGGGGATGACTAAAATTTCCTATCGAGATGTTCCCATAGGTAGTCAATAGGATGTATATTACGGCTCTGTGAAGCCCAGAGAAAAAGCTGGAGGCCTTGTTATGTCTTTCATACAAATGTTGTTCAAGCAACATGGGAAGTTGTTCTACTTTCCCATAGAATATGTGTTCTATAATGAAGACGATCCTGGATATACAATGGTAGGAGATTGGCTGAAAATATCTCCATGTAGTGTACTGCGTAAAGAGACCTTCGATAAACACCCAGTCAGTTTTTTCATTTTAACAAATTCCACCCCATACTATGCCATTACAACTTGCATGGTTGATCATTGGGTGTATAACATTTGGTTTGAATGGCATCACACTTTTTTTTACACCCATTTCTGCTGAAGTTTCTACTCGCCGGTAAACACTATCAAGCCCCGAAAACAATGCATAGCTGTGTGCCTTGTTAATATCCGTCATAAAGGATTTTCTCCCATGAGCTCGTCAGTGATAACCAAATTTATGGAGCACCCTTTGAGTCATTCATTGACTCATTAAACAGCTCCAGCGATCCCTGCCATGGTATAATCAAATAGTGGTATTTTTACTGTCACTCTTAAAACGTTCCCACAGCTGTAAAGTGCGGAGCGCGTTTTTACGCAAACAGGTCGCGATCCATGAATTCTCTAAATCACAACCACTGTTGTCGGAACAAGAAGTTTGTATGGAAACAAGTTTCGACACTTTCACGTGTCTTCAGTCCAACTTTTCTTAGTTTATTTTATATTACTCTACGCGGTATTGTGTGTATACTTGCTATCTCTAAATCACAGTCTGACACATGAGGTTAAAGTTATCAAATTCAGTCAAACAAACTTCAACATTTAAGATATTGTTGTTTGGTATTGTTACGTCTCCGTTTGTTAATTGATTTTTCCGTAACTTCGTTCCGACGAAACTTTAACGACACAAGTCTTTACTTAATAAAATGATTTATTCTTTCCGAATATAACTTTACGATACACTTAATTTCAATATTCGCGCTAAAACAAACACTATAACGAACGAACGTTAACTTCAACAATACCCTGTGACTGCAGTTCAATTACTCACTATCTACACACACATTACTCCCCGTCACGTTGTCATCTTCTTTTATATACCAGACTACCCCATACCTAGTAAATACTAAAGCATTCGCCAAGGTACAGGATAGTTCTAGAAAATAGGTGGCGCCACACCAGTCACGTGACCTCGATGACGCAACAGTAT